TTTTTTTAATTTGTTAATTAAAAGATCTTCAAGTAATAAATACATTTCATTTCAAACAGTATTCACATTATTTCCTATTTTAAGGTTTTGCCAAAGGTCAAGATGTCCAAAAATTTATTTTTACAATAGCTCCAAAACTATGTGGTTTATAAAGTTAAAAACTTTTACAGTTTATAAATATATCATTGATTAACAGATAGAAAGTATCACTTGATAACAAATACTTATAAAAATCTTTATAGAGAAAAAATCTTTTTTAAAAAATGCATATATTTTTTAAAAATGCACCTACCCGGTAATTAATTCCGTACTTTTAGTGAAAGCCATCATTGCAGAAACAATATATGTTTATCAAAGAAGGGCAAGTTGGACTTTGATAGCCTCTGGAAAGTTGTTTTCCCTGTTTATTTTGTCCAAATGTTAAGATTTGAAACCAAAAGTACATTGCAAATGGCGGATTTTATAGGGGTCTTGTCTTTATACAGGTCATGCTTTCAATAACAGCCTTTCAGAGTCCATTCACGTCCAACTTGCCCTTCAATGATAAACATATATTATTTCTGCAAATGATGGTTTTCACTAAAAGTACAGAATTAAGCAGCTGCATTTTTTTTAAAATATGCAAATTTTTTGAATTTGTTTTCTCAAAAAAATTTTTTTTTTCAAATATTTATTTTCAAGTGATACTTTCTATCTGTTAATCAATGATATATTTATAAACTGTAAAAGTTTTAACTTTATACCTCACATAGTTTTGGAGCTATTGTAAAAATAAATTTTTGGACATCTTGACCTTTGGCAAAACCTTAATGTTTATCAAAGACTTCATTAGTTTAATTGCTGTTAATTTAGTACTTACTGTAAATTAGGGAACATTTACTATGTTTGTTAGTATTTAAAGGTTCTTATAACATGTATGAAGGATCATCAAAAAGTTCCTGGACCAATGTGATAAAATCAACACTATGTAGTTTGTGCTTACAAAATTTATAAGGAACATAAATCAACAAAAGTTTCAGAAATGTTGAAAATTTTAGCTTGATACGTTGATAATTTGCCAAATTATTCTAAAACAAAAAAAGTCATTATGTGATTACCCGGCGCAATCGCCGTTTAGTTTCTTCACGTCCGACAACGCCATTGTTTCTCAACGTCCGCCCTCTCTACCACATACACTTATCTTGATCAGATAGCCTTGAGTTAAGTAAGGTTTTAAGCCCGTCTTGTTTATATGACTTTACAATGTCGTGAACAGCTGTTTTCATTGCATATAATATTGTAAATGGATCTATACATAGGGAAAGATCCTCACTTAATTATGCCAGAATACTTAGCTTGTTGGAGTTAATTTTCTACCCCACATGGTCAACGTCACTTTTTGACGTGACTACCATTTGACACCCTGACTACAAATTGACATTACCTGTGCATCTTTCTTCTCTCTGATTCTTTTGGGGTATTTAAAATGAGTACTCTGGATGCATTTTATTTTTCTGTACCCTGTTTAAACATTCCCTAGGTCTACACCAGTTTTTCCAGACGCAAAACTTTATAGAATTTTTGAAAAAGAAACCACTCCCCCTTTTTTGACGTCATGTTCAAGCCCTTAATTGTTTTGACATTCCATATAAAATTTACGATAGAATTTTGTAGAACTTACAGAATGGGGCAAAAATTGCAAATTTTAATGAACAATTGTGTTTTACCACATGCCTGAATTAATGGGATCTTTTGATGACAAATGCTCGTATCAAAAGAGTTTTTCTCAGCTACACTCAGTAGTGTTAAATCCAGACCCTAAAAAGGGCATGGTAATCCAATAATCAAAAGGGCACTTTACGCCGCGACAAGATTTCACGAGGGCACTTTTTTAACGTCTTTGAAATTATAAATATTTTCTTTATCATTGTTTATGTACTTAAATTATTATTTAATACTGAAATCTTTAGTTATAATAGTATCTTAAAGAAAAATTTATAAATCTGTCCACTTAATTCATTTAATACACACTGAGATTAATTAATTATGCAATTAGTGCCAAAATTTAAATTCAAATTTTTTAATCAAGAAATTAGTATGGTTATCAAGGTTATGCTTAAAAAGTAATAGGTGTGAATCTTTTTGTCACTTGCTCAAGAATTATTTTAGTTTGGGGTATGAATTTTTTTCCTTGCTTTAATATTGTTATTTGTGTACGAGGTAAATAACAGAACAAAATTGCAAAAGGGGGGGGGGGGTACTTGCATAATAAATGTAGAGGGCATTCTCTTTATTTTGAAAATGATATACTGGCAAAATCAAGTGAAAACTGATCATACCAAAAAATTAAACTTGAAATAATATATAAATTGGTTAAAACTTTTTTTCTGGCTTAGAAACATTGAGCCTCAGGGTGTCAACTCAAAAAGTTAGAACACGTACAGAATCATTGAACATGTTGAAAGAAACTAACTTCATACTTCGTTGTTTCCTAGCCCATTTCACACATAATATTCCGGGTTTTTTTTTTGGTACATTGTAAGTTGACTTAATTCATCAGCAGTTTTATTTTTCACATTTCTTCATCAACTCTGTTTTTTCTACTTTCAATTTAAAAAAAAAAAACGATCCAGATTTAAAATGTGTAACATTTTAATTTAAAAATTAATCTATCTTTGACATTGGGCTAATTCTTGCATAATCAATGCAATCAAATGATATTTTCTCGTGTTATCTCTTATTCCCTGACAGCCTGAGGCATGTTACCTGGCCAGGTGGCTGTGTGCGTTCAAGCGAGAAGTAATTTCCTGTCCTGAATTCACACCTTTGCGTGCATTAAATAAACAAAGGGGCTAATCAGCATGCACTGAATAAACAAAGCCGCTAGTCCATCTTGCCTCTGCTAGACATATTTATTTATTTTTGCAAGGAAAAAAGGGCATGGCGCTGGAAAAAAGGGCATGGCGCCGAGAGAAAAGGGCATGGCGCCGCGCCATGCTAGTTTGCTTTAGATTTAACACTAACTCAGGTAGAAAAAATGCATATTTGAGGCTGCGCCGCTTGGACATAATTGCTTACAAAAACATTAACAATTTATTTAAAAATAAAACTATGATTTATGGTTTATTCTAAAGATAAAAAAGATTAAAAAAAAAGTATTAAAATTCATTGATGTACCTAAAGCGGTTTTAATTTTATGGCACTAGTCCACGACCTTTTTAATAACCCCTCATATGTTTTGAAAATAATTAAGGAAATTGAAAGTGACAATAATTATGTTCATAAGCCATTTCAATTAGGTATAAGCAGCCTCTGAGCATATAGTTTATTTTTTGAAGAATTATAACATTATAGGCTATAACATTACTTATAAATAAACATTGAATACTTTAGTTTTTTTTATTTCTTCATCTATACTGAATAAATTATAATTAAAATAAAAATTACATCCAATAAAATCAAAGGAAATTTTGAAAAAATTAACCAATTAACATATTTTGGCAAACGGACTTTGGCCGAACAAGTTTTAGAGCGAACAGATTCTGGGCAAATGAGAATTAGAGTGAATGGCGTGAAGTGCAAATGTGTTTTAGGTCAAATGAACATACATTCAAATTTTTGTGGCAGGGTTGTCCCTAAGATTTAAAATAGCTGGGGACGTCAAATAGGTAGAAGGGGGTCTGAAGTTTCTCTTCTAAGAGGAGGTAGTCCGAAATATCTGACGTTTTCCTGGCCTTTTTTAACGATTTGATATTTTAAGAGCCAGAAAAACGTCAGAACCGGTGCCATTACGAAAATTGGGAATTCACCGCCTCCAACCGGAGGCGGCATTCTCAGGTTGATTTTCAATACTTGCGAACCGAACTAAATGCTGAATTCACAACTTATTAATAGTACAATGCCTTTAGTACTCACCAACATAATTTTTATGGTTTTTTTATGAAATATACAGTCTGGTGAAAACATTTTATCAGAATGTCGAGTTTTCGTTTCATTTCATGCATTTTAAATCTTGCAAGATCTGTATCAAAAATGTGGAGTGATATTTTCCTTTCATCGATATTGGTGAGTACTAGAACAATTGTGCTACTGATAAATTGTAAGTTCAGCATTTAATTCAGTTCGCAAGTATCAAAATGAGCTCTGGTTGGAGACAGTGAAATTTCCAGTTTTTGTAATGGCGCCGGTTCTGACATTTTCCTGGTACGTACAATATCAAAATCGTGAAAAAAAAACTGGAAAAACGTCTGATATTTCGGACTAAAGAGGAGGTTGAGGGGAAATACCAGAACAACCAGGGGATTATGTCATAACAGGCAGGGAAATTCCCCGGCCCCCAGGTCTTAGGGAAAACCCTGTTGTACAGATTGAGAAAATGGAGGGGGTCTCCTAATTTTCAAGGAGCCTGCAATTTTCATTGACAGGTCCTACGGACCAGTGGAGCAAAATGGTTTTGGTAAAGATTGGTCTAGTGCGGATTGAAGAGGCGAATCTGTTAAAACTGAATAAAGTATCCAGTACTATACATCTGCACCCGTCCTATCACTTGCCATTTTGATAATATATGAGTACGAAGATGGTGAATAAAGCAGAAATGTGCCTTATGGTGCGTCATACAATACTTTGAGAGGTATATTATTGGACCTAATCATAAAACTTTCGTTGGCATGGTTAGATATAAATAACTTGCCTCTTTCACAGATAAAAATTCTAATAAAGGAAACACTAAATGCCGGTCCAAGTACTGGCCCATACGCGTGGTCAAGTCGAATTCCGCCATCTTGCCTGAAAGACAGACTAAACGTGAAAACCGAAATCAGATATTATATTTCCGGAAAAGTTTTAATCTTGTTGTATTGAAGAAATTTATTGTAATTTCTTTGTGTCTGTTACTTTAAAATTTGCAACTTTTTAAGGTTTTATTCTTTAAAAAATTTCCCAGATAATATGAGAAACAAACCTTTAACTCTTTTACGCACGATCTATCTGAATTTTTCACATTCTCACAAAGGTCATGGTCATACCTTACCTTGTACAGTATTCTCTTTCTTCTTGAGAAATGAGAAAATAACCAACAGAATGGTGGGTATTTAATACCTTTACATATTTATTTGTGGACAATGGATGATGCAAAGTTTGAAGTCGAAGATAACAAACAGTCATACGTTCCAAAAGAAGGTAAACAGAAAGATGTTACTCTGATCAGAATATTAATAGAATGTCTAACATATTAACATGATTAACCATGAAATAGGGGTTGATAGTTGTAAAGTCAATGTAATATGACACAAAATTATTTTTAAAAACCTGTCACAATGATATTTGTTCTATGTAAAAAGGAGATGGGTGAACAAGGCATGCGAATTGCCTGTGTAAATGTATAAAAGTCATGTTCAGTTTGTGAATTTAGAGTATTTAGAGTAAAGTTCTTATTATTGAAAGGTATGAATTCTTGGCATTCTTACCCAAACAATAAAAATCCTGAGTATTATTATTTTCTTAGAGACTTAAAGGTGCTTAGACACAGATTTGAAGTTAATATTTTCTCAAATTTTCTGTATAATTTCATGACTTATATGTTGCTATAGCATTTCATACTAAAATAAAATAAAAATCTTATTTCATCTCGAAGTTATTGAAACTTCAAATTTCTGGACGCGTTTGATTGACACATCCTTGCACTTTCACAAATTTTAATTTTATTCTTAATACTTAGAAAAGTGGCAATTTTGTTGTGTATTAATGAAAGATATTAGAACTATAATCCAGAAAATTCAGAGTAGAAATGTTCGAAAGCAAAACCCACTCACAGTATTGTCAGTCCGTGCTCAGTGGTGTGTGCAGACTTTAACAATTGAACACACCCGGTGAATCGTAAACATTAACAATAACAGAGCTCGTGCCCTGTTTACAAAAACAGTTTACGTTTCACGGGTGTATTCAATTTGTTAAGCTCTGTACACAACACTGAGCACGGGCTGACGATATTAGTGAGAGGGTTTGCTTTCGCACATTTCTACTCTGAATTTTCTGAATTATAGATGTAATGCTTTTTCATTAATACACAACAAAATCGCTTCTTTTCTTAAATATTAAGGATAAAGATAAAATTTGTGAAAGTGCAATGATGTGCTAATCAACCGCATCTAGGAATTCGTAGTTCCAATAATTTCTAGATAAAATAAGTTTTTAATTATATTTTCGTGTGAAATGCTATTGCAATATATAAGTCGTGATATTATGCAGAAAATTTGAGAAAATATTAACTTCAAATCTGTGTCTAAGCACCTTTAAAATATTTCTTGAAAAGATACAAACGTTGTGTCCATAAAAGTGTTTTTTTTAAGGTATAGTTGGTCTTTGCTCCATGTTTTTGTTTACCAAAATTTAAATAGGTTTACACATGCTTTGAGTACAATGTTTCAAAAAAAAAAAAAAAGAAATGGAGCATTTTTGCCCTCTATGGTGTGTATATGCTATTTCATAGAGGAATAATTGTAGTCTTTGTGAGATGGTTGCAACTGTAGAGATTTTGCATGAAGTATACATTAATGTTCACTGATACATTAAAGATAATGTCATAATGGAGATAAAATTTTTATGGTCTTCTTTGTCACACAATAGGCATTTTTCTCACCTTGTTCGCCCATCTTCATTCTTCAGATGTTCATTTTTCTGGGTTCAGACTTCGTTTTGGCAATGCAACTTGCAAGTGATGTCATGTGACGTCAGAGACTAGACGTACTAAATGTCACGTGCGGTTTGAAGAGCCTAATCTAAATAAAACTGAATATAGGTATCTGCGCTCGCCCTAACGGTTGCACCATCAACATATTATTTTGACTCAAATTTGTCTAAATTTATTATTTCAATCTACAACTTTAACCTAAATGCATGCATCTGTCACGAGAAAAACTAACGCTTACTTGCAGTTTATCCAAACAGTGTTTAAACCGTATGCTATGCCTATCTACTTCTTTAAAAAGAATAGGATTATTATTACTGTGTTTGATTGTGGCAGATATCAGCATAATGCATCTTTCTCAACCTCTATTAAACATTACTTATGACTTGTCTTCATTTGAAGCTCTTCAAATGATTTACAGTCACTTGGTACACTGACTCACTCTTACACAGACCGACTTGTACACAAGAAGTCAAGTCATATACAAAACCCCAAAGTCAACTGGTACACAAGGTTTTTTTTTCTTTTATGTACATAAAATCTTGTAGACAAAAGTAAAAGTCAATTAACTGGTACATGATGTTTTTTTCTCTCTCTACACACATAAAAATTAAATAAAATTCCCCACAGCCATGAAAGAAAGGAAAATTAAAGCAAATAGCTACTGTTTTTCTTCTAACATTGAACTGTTGAATACCTTCTTAGTTAAGATTTTAAATAATTATTGATAAAAAAAAATATACATGTATGCTTTCTTGGATCTGCAGTAAATGCTAATCATGCTCCCACTTGGTATTAGCTAATTATGAGAAACTGCATGTTTTGCAGAGCCTTTTTTAAGATTAGTTTTATGGAATTATTATACAATTGTACTCTATCAATATTTATTTTACAATGTTTGAATCAGTTGATCTTGATACTATTTATAATATATATATATATATATATATATATATATATATATATATATATATATATATATATATCCAGAATGAAAGATCATAAAACTACTAGTATCTTAATCCTTACGCTCATTCTCAATAAAAGTTCAGTTGCTACGATTTAAAAAAAATGTTGTTGTAGCCATATATGGTACAATATTTTATATATAAAGAGAAAAAAAAACCTTGTGTAGGAATTGAAAGTTCACTTTTGTACTAAAAAAAACTTGGACATAAACAGATCACCAACACAAGGTGAGAATGCACACACAGATTTACTGTTAACGTATTCCATTTGGTTGTGTTTTCTTTTTAGCGCATTTGATGGAGAAAAAAACTAATTCAAGTACAATGCTAAATGTCTTGCATATAATATATACACATATATAAATACTTACATAAATAAATAAGAACATTAAAAAATGCACTAAATCAAATCTACATGTATGCTAACTTGTTTAAAAATCAATTTCTGCCAAATATCGTACAAGCTAAATGTAATACATTTACAGTATTTTGTGCATTATCACGATGTGTTGTTGATCTATTTATATCTTAAAGTTAACAAATTTAGCTCCAGACCCTACTGAATACTTTTCCAATCCAGTCTTGGGAATTCTCCACAATTTCAACCTTAAGGTGTTGGTTTCCAGATTTATTTTTTTTTTTGTACAAAAAAAAAATGTATATGGTTTGACTTTTGGGTTTTGTATATGACTTGACTTCTTGTGTATGAGTCGTCATGTGATGATTTGACCGGACACCATTAGAATCTCAAACTGGGACTCATTGTATAGCGTAGATTCAGGTTTGTATTTAGAGCCTGTGTAGGACCACAGTATGCATCCAGTCATGAGTAGATTATTTTTCAATATTTTTATGTTATCTTTTAACTTCATGTGCAGTCAACCGCATTTTAGAGTTGATTTTTTACTGCACCATGCCATGTAGAGCACAGGAGAAGTTTACATTATATGTTTTATTTACAGTTTTCTTTGATACGTTATTTTTTATTGATATTGTAGACCCAGTATGTCCAGTAGAGTGTGCCGTCTGTCTTCAACCATGTATCCATCCTGTCCAGTTGCCCTGTAGACATATATTCTGCTTTTTGTGTGTCAAAGGTGCTGCTCATCGGAGCAAGAAATGTGCCCTCTGTCGCCAGGAAATTGAGGCAGACTTCTTTAATAATCCTAAACTGTTACGGTATGAAGATTTAGAAAAGACAACCAAGTTTGATAACCAATACCAGTGGTTTTATCAAGGTGGAAATGGATGGTGGCAGTATGATGACAGGACCAGTCAAGAGTTGGAGTCTAAACACAAAAATGGGGAAAAAGTTTTTGAAATTCTGATTGCAGGATTTCTGTACATAATTGATTTTGACACCATGGTACAGGTGAGACGCAATGACAGGTCAAGGAAGAGGAAGATTAGGAGGGATCTTGTTTCCATCCCAGGTGTGAAGGGAGTTGCAGGATTAAAGTATCCAAAATCTACCTCCCCATCTAATGGAAGGCCAGTGGGAGATGGGAATGAACAGTCTAGTCAAACCAATAATCCCACATCAAGAACTGCAAACACAAACAGACAAGTTCGTCAACCTGTTACATCCCATGGCCAGCCTTCAGTGCCACACACCCCCAGTAACACCCCCCAGAATCCCAATACTCCTGTAGACAGTCCACCTAGTAGTGTTCAGTCCTCTCAACAAGATCTCATCAATCAGCTACAAAGTCTCAACCTACCCAGTGATGACTCCGACACAAACGAAGCCCCTGTAACAAGGCAAGTCCCAAGTGGAAGTAATGGCAATAGTCCAGTCTCTTCTAGGACTCGTAGTTCTGTTAACGAAATAGTCCGTCCAGGAAACCCAGCTAGTAGTCGTAATAGGACAAGACAAACCATACAGTATGTTGACTCTGATTCCAGTGATAATGATGTTGTGTAACATTTTAATCCACCTTTATTGGGAAAATAGTTTTTAAAAAATCAGAAGTTAAATTTGGAGTTTTGGGCAAAAAATAAACAGTATTGGTTGTCATTATAAAAATCTTGTTCCAACATTTTATATGTTGTAACAAATACACGGACAGGGCAGGCATTATTTGTTTTGTCCGACTCTTCATATGTTTAACTTAACTGTTGTGTAACTTTTAAAACTTATAGTACATTGAAACATTCTAGTTGGGGGATTTTTACTTACCTATTCCTGAATTTGAATTATTTTACTTTCTGTATGACAATAATGTCAATTAATTCAGCTAATTACTGCAATTCATTTATACTATCTTGTCTAATTGGTAACATATTATTATTTCCATCGTATCAAAATTATATCCTTCTCATCATTTCAAATCTTCTTTTAAATACAGAAATTTAAAAGCTAGAGTAAAAAGTTTAAGCTGTATAAAAACACACAAGCTCTCAATATGCTTTCTATGACTTTGTATAGATTAATAAGTTTTGAAAAGCTCAGATTATACTGCTGTTAGAAATGTTTGTAAGTTGTTGTCTTATTATTATGTAGTGCACATTTTATTATTTGTGTTCAATATATTTAAAAGTTTATTTTCCTGTAGAATTTTTTTTATTTATGAGGACTGTGTAAAGGGGCTAATAGCATTTAATGCATTATTTATGTAGAGGATATGTTTACAAGTACTTATTCACTGTGTGTGATATACAAGTTCATGCGATTAAAAAAAGTGCTGTTTAGACTTCAAGTTGTTTCCTCTTTTCTTTCAAAAAAAGGTTTTAAAAAAATTGTCTTTGTTCCAACTTTTTAAGGCAGCTTCATATTTTGGGAGTAATCAGTAAAGAAGCATCTTATCATTACAAAAGTAACAAGATGCCATGGGCCACAATGCTCACCTGAGTCACATTGACCCTGCTTGTCTTCAGAAAAGAATTTTTAAAAGAATTAATATCAATGATATCTTATATCTGTTTATTCTTGATACATATATAGTATGAATTTATAATATTCATTTTGAGGAAACCCAAATAAAAATTGAAGGGATGGGACCTGAAGATTTCTTGATTATCAACAGACAATTGGGGTCAAGCTTATTTCAACATCTTAATACATAGTCAGTGCTTGTTTGTTGGCTGTTCTTAAGAAAACTGTAGTTGTATATTGAACAAAATAATATGTGCTCATACTAAATTTTACAAAATACATGTTCAAAACAAACTTTTAAATATGAATTTATATTCTTTTCGAGGAAACCCAAATAAAAATTGAAGGGATGGGACCCGAAGATTTCTTGAATATCAACGGACAATCGGGGTCAAGCTTATATCAATGTCTTAATACATAGTTAGCACTTGTTTGTTGGCTGTTCTTTAGAAAACTGTAGTTGTATATTGAACAAAATAATCTTTGCTCATACTTAATTTTACAAAGAAGATGTTTAAAACTAACTTATCGCTTTCATTCCTATTACTGTGTTAACCTTGATTTGACCTGTTGAATATTACAATTCATCACTTGGTGTCCAGCTGCAAGTGTACTTATGAATACAATTATTCTAAAACTTGACCCCAGTCTAAGTTAGGTCTGAGCATGTATTTGGTTGGCCTGTCATTTGAAGAATTGAGCAAATTAAACCCATTATAATTTGGGGGTGTCCTCACAATGTTTACCAGAGAAATCTTGTAATTTCATATTGACTTCCCTGTAATTGTTGTAAACTGATACTATACACATATTCAAATTTCTAGAGAGAGAGAAAGCTGATTGATAATCCCACCTCCTTTTAATATTGATTAGGTGATCTAAAAACCACTCTGGGTAAATGTCAAATTCAGGACAGTGAAACTAAAGTGTTGTTTCAATTTTGATTCATGACACCAATACATTGCTTTAGTACGAATCTTTAACCAATTATAATCATGTATTTGTTGATCTTGCTATTGCTTGTAAAATGTTTTGTATCTGGGGCAAAGACATGTAAGGAGGGCACATTTTGTGGTCAGGCAAGTTTTTCACCAGTGGTTCAAGAGCTCAGTTGGTAGAGCACCTGTCTAGAATTCAAGAGACCCAGGTTCGAATCCTGGTCTGGTCTGTACATTTTCTCCCTGTTACAATCTCAACATTCTATAATATCTTGGGATGAAAGAACATTGGCAATTAAACAGGAAAAAAATGCCCACAGTTTAATTTAAGAAAAGTGAAAAATTAAGAATCAAACATAGTCAATTAAGAGTCAAACATAATAAAATTTATTCACTAGTATGTATATTTGCTGTAGAATCTGTACTATATGCTACAATCTTATAATTATTTAAAGTATTCATCTACAGAGTAACATGCACACATCACCATAGACAAAAAAGACTATTTTTCTTGATATAATAATTTTTCCATAAGAGTTACAGGAGTGCACCTTTGCTCCATTTTATTGAAAGTATTTTTTCCAAATGTGAGTAAAAATAATGTTTTTTTCCCATTAATAAGACAAGAGGCCCAAGGGCCTTGATTTGCTCTTCTGATAAACTGTACCACTATTACTTCTATCTGAAGCCTCTAAGTATCCTGTATATTTAGATAAACCCTTGAAATTCCAAAGGTAGGTCATCATGACCTACATTTAAGATGAAACACTCTGAGAACCCAAGATGATTCTAAGCCAATTAGTACCTGAGAGTAGGTCATGGTGACCTACTTATTACTTGTCATTCTCTGAGGACCCAAGATGCATCAACTAAGTTTGATGATTCTAAGCCAATTAATACCTAAATATTTTTAAAATTATATCCATAAAATTTCAATAAAAAGTAGGTCATAGTGACCTACTTTTCAGATGACATACTTTGAGGACCCAAGATGCATCAATTGACAAAGTTTGATGATTCTAAGCCAATAAGTAACTGATATATTTAAATAAAGCCATAAAATTTCAAAAATAGGTCACAATGACCTCCTTTTTCAGTCAACTAACTCTGCGGACCCAAGATGCATCAACTGACAAGGTTTGATGATTCTAAGCCAATTCGTACCTGAAATATTTAATTAAAGCCATAAATTTTCAAAAGTAGGTCATGGTGACCTAATTTTCAGTCAACCTATTCCAAGGACCCAAGATGCATCAACTGACAAATTTTGATGATTCTAAGCCAATTAGTACCTGAAAATATTTAATTATAGTCATATGAATTGAAAAGTAGGTCACAGTGACCTACTTTTCAGTCAACCTACTCTGAAGACCCTAGATGCATCAACTGACAAATTTTGATGATTCTAAGCCAAATAGTTCCTGAAAATATTAAATACAGACATAAAATTTCAAAAGTAGGTCACGGTGACCTACTTTTCAGTCGACTTACTCAGAAGACCCAAGATGCATCAATTGACAAAGTTTGATGATTCTAAGCCAATTAGTATCCGAAATATTTAATTATAGTCTTATAAATTGAAAAGTAGGTCATGGTGACCTACTTTTCAGTTGACGTTTTTCTAAGACCCAAGATGCATCAACTTACAAAGTTTTATTATCATAGGCCTAAAAATGTCCAAAATATGCCTCTAAAACACTTTGAAATCGAATGCCTGCAAAGTTCAAAAAGTAGGTTGCTGTGACCTACCTTTTAATAAATGTTTTACGGCCCCAAGATGCATCAGCTTAAAAAATGACCAGTACTTTTGGTTTTATTTATCTAATTATCTCCCCTTGTTTAAGGGTCACAACCTTAGTTTTAGTATAAACGGGAGCCCTTGGGCCAAGGATACCCTGTGAGAAATTTGACAATAATTGGCCAAGGGTTCTTAGTTATGGCCCATATTCTAAAAAGTTTACACACACCGCACAAATGGCCATAGCATTAGCTCTTTGAGCCTTTGGCTCAGAAGACCTAAAAAAACATGAAGCAAGTACCCACTATACATTAAAAGTAGTTTACTTTTATTTCAAAACAATTGTACCTTTAATGAAAAATCAAATGCCGTAACTTCATGGGTTGCGTGACGCAATGGTTAATGTATAGGTCTTGATAAAAAAAAAAAACTGTTAGGATTTTAGTCCAAGTGTAAAGTACTAATGCTTTTTCCTTCCCTTTCTGGGCAAATCATCTTGTTGACAGAAGTATTCCTTGGCATAATTTCATACATAAAACATTAATTTTTATTCAGCAGAAACATTTCCTACACTTTATTCCCCCATGATTTTGTTAAATATATAAATGATGGAATGTGACTGTATGTGAATTCATGGTAAAATTGTCAAGGTAAATAAGCATTGGAAGCACATTAATATCAATACAGATATGTACTAGATATCAAATGTACCATGCTATTTATTCACCTCCATTAATTAACCATTTGATACAGTCAGCTAATATAATGTACATCGATCACCAGAAAAAAATCAACTCTTCAAGAGTTCAAAAACATCAAAAAATGTAAAACTGTGTAGCAAAAAATGCAAGAAAGCACTTGGGTTTAATGTATGCAACGCTTAAAAACACATCAAACAATGTTAAAAAATCCAATGCAATACACTCAATTTGTAAAGTTTTGTAAGAATAAAAAAATCATATGTAGTCTTACAAATATTTTAAGTGGCAACATAAGGACCTAAGCTTGGGACCTGAATGACATCCATATACATCCTAGTAATGTTCCAAATAGTGAAACTTTCCAGTACATTGATCTTGTGACAGGATTTGACAACATCAGACATAGGCAGCCATTATAAAAGATGGCCACTGGCAAAGTCTGGGCAAGAGTGATCTGTAGACGATTAGCCTGTCCAGGAAATCTACCAGCTTTGTCTTTGTCCACAGAATAAAAATGGGATAACAGTCTAATAAAATAAAAGGCATTTCTTATTATTCACATTATCATTTAATTCCACAACAATTCAGTTTATGCAACAGCTAGAATTACTTTTATAGGATACCCTGCCCCATCCCACCCCCACCCCCCAAAAAAGATATGTTGTTTGAAATCTTTGTGAGATATTTAGGTAGAGAATCTCAAGACAAATGAAGGACAAGATAATGGAGACTGAGCTCATTGGTCCAGTGGCTCAGAACTGCTAGAGCACCTGCATGATCCGTAGGATATCACAAGTTTGAGTCCCAATCCATTCTTTACTTTTTACACTTTTGAGCTAATCTATTTACGGTACTTGTAAATGTAGTTTTTGATTTTTTTTTTTTGAAAGAGCATGGGAATACCAGTAATTGCTGTATTAAATGAACTTCAGTATCTCCAACATCAATATCCCAAATACCATGGATATGTTGAGGTGAATAGGAAGGCCAAACTACTATTTCTTTTAAAATATGTATTTTAAACCTCAATATCTCAAATTCTTAAACATCTCAAAATTTTTTCTTGGCCCCATTGAGTTCAAGATAATGAGATATGACTGTGTCAGACAAGCTGAATTGAAAATTAAAATAATCCTGCTATAAAGTGATAAGATGACTATAGTATTTTTTTTATCAATGAAATGGAACACATATAAATAGCATGATATACAATTACTTGTCTTTCTTCTGGTATTGATTATCTAACCAGGTCTGTAGTTTCTCCATATCACCTGGGACATCTGTCACCTTTATTTTCTCTATGTTCAGGTGAATTTCAGGTGAAGTTTGCATTAAGAATTCTGAAAGTAATCAATTTTCATGGAAATAGATATTACTTTATATATTTCAGTGGTATATTTCATTACATATACATTAAACTTCAAAACCATAAATCCATTCAAAGTAT